AAGGCCTCGTTTCTCTCTGCTGCAATGATTGTTGTAGCCCTTGAAGGTCAAAGCAACAATGTCTGCAAAACTATTTCCCCCTGCATTGATATCAGCAGCAGAAATGATGCCATCTTAAAGCCTTCGCACAAGTGGCACATTTTGGCTTGGAGGAAAGCAAATAGCATTATACTGAGCAAACTGTATGGAGAAAATGATACAGAAGCAGACTCAATGGGTATAATCCAAGAGTCCATATCTCCAAGAGTATGCCCATTTTACTTAGCCACAAACTGGAGTGCCAGCTAGGCCATTGCATCAATATTGATCTGCTGATCTGCTATAGTTTCTAGCTTCCGAGTGCTCTTTTCTCGAGGAACTTTAAAGGGTTTTGTGTGTGTGTGTGTGTGTGTGTGTGTGTGTGTGTGTGTGTGTGTGTGTGTGTGTGTGTGTGCATGTGTGTGTCTCACGTGTCATGTGTCACGTATAGGCAGTGTTAGGTACTGCCTTTGAATCTACTGTATGAGCCGCGGCCAGCAAAAAAGGTACTATAGAAAATTACGGAAATTGTTCAGAATGGGAGTTTGAAGTTCGGAATTGAAAAAATCTTTTTGAGTTGAGGTGATTTTGTACTTTTTACGAGTTGTCTCCTTGATGAGGATCGCTTCAAGATTATTTTGTTTTCATCTTGACAAGGTATCAAGTGGCGCAACTTCATCTTTCAACAAGTGTGAGTGCATGGAAGACGCGTACTGAAAGTAGAGAATCCACAGAGTGTCATGGCATGCACGAGTAGAAGATGAAGCCTAGAAATTTGCGGTGCGAGCGTTGACGACCTCGCTGCGCTACGGGAACATGACGAAAGTTTTTACGGCCTAAACAGCAGTGATACGATCGCCGAATCGTCTGGCTCAGACGACTCAGATTCGGACACACCTGCAGAAAAGCGGACCTGTTTACCGCTGGAGTCGCAGAGCAGCGATGACGAGTATTTCAGCGATGCAGAGGATACCACTAGCGATGGAACGAGTGCAGCAAGTGGAGCGGCAGCGGCGATGATACGCGACGCACTGGACATCGGTTGCAAATGCAAAGTGAATCATTGGACCAAGCTACCTCCGGACCAGCTCGAGGAACTGGTATGTAACTTGAGAGCAATGAAGAGGAGTGAGCTGAAGCGGTACGTGCTGGGCGAACTTGCAGCGATAATGAAAATATCTAGCCCCAGCGCTGAAGCTGCAACTGCAAGTTCTCGCAAATTTTCGTTCACATATGCAATGCTTGGTGTTGTCGTCTGCCGTGAAGTGTTCCAAGATGCACATGGATTAACGCATACTCTACTACGTAAATTACAAGAAGACGCTGAACATCTACTTACAACGCCACAGAGCAGCAAGAGTAAGGGCAAACCCCGCCCAACATCTTACCTACTGCAGTGGCTGACAATGTTGTGCAGTTTCACGTTATGGAATGCCACAACCAGCAGCACCCAGGGGACGCGCAGCAAAGGCGCCCACATATCTTCCTGCTAGTTGTACAAAGAAAGAAATTCATTGTCTATACTGTGATTCTGAAGGTGCGCATCCTATTAGTCTGACCACGTTCAAACGGCTTTGGAAAGCTAACAGTAATACTCCATATATTTATTATATGCATCATGAAGCAGAGGTCTGATGTTTGCGCACGCTGTGAGCGGCTGCGTGCACGGGAATCTCCTGGTGTCGTTTGCATGAAGAAGCACTGTCAAGCAGATGAGGTTGAGATAAGGCACATGCGCTCGTCCACCAACTCTGCTGCTGTCGCTGCAAGCCGCCTGCCCACAACCTTGCCATCAGGTGGTATCAGTGATACAAGGCTGCTGTACCTGAACAAGGAGATCAAGCAATACCTGGGCCAAGACTCAGAAGCACCCTGGAGCAATGCCACAGGCCAAGAAGAGGCCGAGGGCATGGCAGAGGACTTATAACTAACTATAATGCAGAAGTAAACTGACAGCTATTGCCAATGTGGACACCCTTGTACATATAGTGGTATTTAACCACCCCCAGCACCTTAGAATACGTTCAAACTATCAGGAATGATAATTCACACATGAAGAAGTGTTTTGGAGCAAAAAAACCGTTTTCCAAAAATTCACCCTATAGTACCATTTTTGCTGGCTGCGGCTCGTATTATGCGGGTAATTGTTGCCCCTAAACCCGAGGAAATTTCCCATCCAGTCAGCATGAGTATCATTTCGCTACTTGGTGAAAGCAGCGTGTCGCACACACCTCGGGCCATAGCTCGGAGATTGGAGTTGCATACACTTGGGGTTAGAGGCTGTTTGTATACTTCAAAGTAACTCTTGCAATGCAATGTGGTGCATCACCGGTCACAGAGGAAACCATGCACGTCAGCCCTCACATACAGCATCACTGCTGCATGTAACCTTTCGAATACAGCATGTAACCTTTCCTTGCTCTTATCCTGTGCTTCAGGTGCTTGAAGATCTACTTGGAGTTAGAGGAGAAGGATTCTGCAAGAAGGAAGGACAACTTCATCCTGGCTCTCAAGTATATGTCTGGATTGCCTTTGCAAGAGGTACGTGTAACATTCTACACTCCGTCTGGTGTCTGTTTGCTGGTACTGTCATGAGGACTAGTACCAGGTCTCCTCAGGCTTTAGGCGTATCTACTAGAAACAAAGCTGGATTGTGCTCTGTTATGGCCATAGTTATCTTGTTGTATGCGTATTAGCACCTCATTGACCCCGCTCGTTCCTTATTCTTCATTCCGCTTGACCTAAGCGAAGACTAGCCAAGCTTGCTTGGCGATGTCAATGCGAAAAGGCTGATAATAATAATATGGCCATATCTTATATGCTGACACTGCAGAAGAATTCACGGGAACTTTCTAGCATGCGCTACAGGTCTAGTAGCATGTTGTTGATGTTGTTGTTGTTTTTATGTGTGTTTTTTTCTAGGCTGATAGTTACCTGAAGAAGTATGGCAATGCTCTCGTGAATGAGATTCCACAAGAGACAACTGCTTTACTGAAGAGATTGTGCACAGCATCCCCTCCAGCTCCCGGTAAAGATACACTAGAGTAGGAATAACCGTGATTGAGATAGCTGTTGGTGATGTCATGCATAGAATGTGAGAGCTGATCATGAAAACGTCTAGTGCACCATTTGGAAATTCTGATGGGTCGATACTGATGTATCGGTCCTACGTTCGTATCTCAGACTGGCAATTTTGCCGAAACGTTGTAGTGATGATTGCATGGTAGAAAGGAGTTTGGATGATTGCACTGTATTACACTGGCAAAAAGCAGATCTGCTCTAACCAGCTTGTTATATTATAATTATTATATTATATTGCAGGAAACCTTGCGGCCACTGTTACTTATTTCAGACTCTCTTGTTTTGTTCTATTTCCCCTTTACCACTCTCAGTCGACGTTCTATACTTGTTGGATGTTGACTTGGTGGTAGACGTGTATTTGACATTACCCATCTGTGATTCGAGTGTAGTTTACCACCTGACCATCTTCTTACCCACTATTTGCGTATACTAGTAGCAAGAGTACATAACCTCCCAGAGTGTGCAACGCCTGATCCAGCTCTGCATAGGGTCTTGGTCGAGCGGAATCGGATCTTTGCGTCATAATACCGTACACATCTGAGGGGAACCCGGGGAGTCGCGGGTACTCTTGGATCAAAAACAATGGTGCCCTGCCTCGAGACCGGCCTTGCGCTGGTGTGAAGTGTACGCATGACATCAGAAGATCCGATTCCGCTCGACCAAGACCCTACACAGAGCTGGATCGGCTTTGCACACTCTGGGGGGTTATGTACTCTTGCTAGTAGTAGTCGAATATGCAGTCGTGGCCAAAGAAATCCAAACCGCGGGTCAAAAGTAGCACCGCGTTTCCTGTTCGATTACATCATGCACCGACCAAAAGCCCATCCAAGGGCTGCAGGGGCCACATGAGCCTTGGCGCTGCTTTCTGCTGACGAGTTGGATTTTTTGGCCATGACTGTAGAATCTTGAAATATTCCAATCTTCATAGAAGAATGTCTTACTTTCTGTGTTCTTTCCTTATGACAGCGGAAGGTGAAGAGCAGGGCGATGAGTTCTGTATTCGACCAGAGGAGTTCATTCACATCTATGTCAACCAGACTGAGTATCTACTGGATTTCCTGGAGTTCATTGTCAAGGTGCGTGGCCAAACCGATCGCAATGAAATCTAATGAACAACAAAGCATCTTAAACCGGTGCAAAGCATCTAAATCAGAGTACTCGCGCTGTGATAAACACGGCAAGCTTTGCATGAGGGAGGTAACTTTGACGCTAACCGGAAAGCGTGCTCAACGAAGCGAGGCGAGAAAGCGCGATACTCGATCTCCGTTCAGCTAGCTGTTTTGACCTTGTTAGGTCTCATCAGCGGAGCTCAGAGTCACTGGCTAAACCGGTCGCAGTGACGTCTAGTGAGCAACAAAGCATTTCTATATCGGCCGCTCTAAGCATCAAGTCAGAGTGCTCTTTTTCTTGTAAATTAAAGACTATTTGTGAGACATACAATAAGCATTATGCCTGTCCACTCCACAACCAGACCAACGGCAGACCAACAGCAGACCAACAGCAGACCAACAGCATCCTACGAATGAGACTCACCCATTGAAGCAGCTGACTACTAGTATACAGTGACTAGATTCAACAAACGTTTGCATGTATTTATTCACATTTATGGGTGCGGGTGCGCTTATATGTTGTATTCTTGTATACATGTGTTGTCAGGAGCAAGTTGCCTCGTCAAGTGTTATCTATAACACATTACTGGAACTCTACTTGCACAGAGATCCTGACGACACGCAAGTATGAATTTGCATAATCTTGAACCTTTTGGTCAGCCTGTCTGCCTGTCTGTCTGTCTGTCTGTCTGTCTGCTTGTCTGTCTGTCTGTCTGTCTGTCTGTCTGTCTGTCCATTCATTTTACTCATCCACCCTCTTAGCTGTCTGGCTGGATATCCGTCTGTCATCTTTCTTTTTCTCTTTTGCCAATGGATGTGTATCTGTGAACTGCCTCTTTTGTCAATCCGTTTTACCGTATCGGTCTGTCTGTGATTCTGGCTGATGATAATTATCGTGCAGATGTGCTAGTTAGAACGTTCTCAGTTGTGAAGGCATGATGTAGTAGTACAGTCTACATTCACGTAGCACCTGATCATTGTATTAGATATAAACTGCAGTTGCAGTATCGATTCTGAACCTTCTTTGAGAACGATAACTTTCAAGTTTCTATTCTAGTCAGTCTGAAATGTGTAGTGGCATTACTATAACTTACACTACATGAACAATGTCAATCTGATGTGATCTGTAGACGGTTTTTTTGGATGAAATGGGTGTTTTCTAAAGTACTTTTGGTGCTTTGCAGATCTAAAAAAACAGTGCACCATGCATTTTGTCCCACAAGATTGTACACATTTTGTACGCACGCCCTATTGTCAAGTACTAGTATTGTGTGTGGCCAACTTTTTCAAATCACTGTCTTGCAGGAAGTGTGGGGACCCAAAGAAACCAAGGCTCTTCAGCTGCTGAAGAACTCAGAAGTAAGTACTTCGAAATATGAACCCACTGAAATACGTTGCCCTTGTGTGCTTGTTCTGGCATGCTTGTACGTGTGTGCCTGCATGCATGTCTGTACAGTGCACGTGCATGCTGAAGTGGTGCTTCTGGTGTTATGGATGGCTTGCTGGCCATGCTACGTACATGTACATGAATGTTGTTCGATTACACACAATTTTCGTCCATTCTAAACTTCTCTACAATGCAAACGCCGGCCACACAGATTTCTTCGTCAAAATCCACGGAATTTCTAATTCTCCCGCCAGAATTTACGCATTTGGTGCATGCTTTCTTGACACTGTGTGTGTGTGTGTGTGTGTGTGTGTGTGTGTGTGTGTGTGTGTGTGTGCTATTGTGCTATTGTGCTTTTGTGCTTTTGTGTGTGTTTGTGTTTGTGTTCATGTGTATGTGTATGTGTGGGTGTTCATGTGTGTTCATGTGTATGATGGACGTATGACTGTTGCAGGCCAAGTATCATTTGGATCAAGCCATGGTGCTTACTCAAATGCACGACTTCACTGCTGGTGTTCTTTACCTCTATGAGAAGGCTAAACTGTGAGTACAGCCTGATCAAGTGTGGCTGGTTGGGTATGGATGTGTGCAGAGTACAGAGTAAATGAACTCTAGTATGGGCAGCGTGGCATGATTGTGCACTTGAAATGTGCTCTCCTAGAGTTGAGTCTTAGTTTCTTCAAAATACTGTTTGAATTCAGTTTTTTCCAGCAGTAAACTAGTAATGGGTGTGATTGTTTCAGCCCTGTTTTGATGCTCAAAACTTTTTTCTTAAATGCATGTGTGCATGTGATGTGCGGGTGCGGATGCGTGTGTATTTAGGTATCAGCAAATTCTGCGCTATCACATGGATCATCGCAACTATGCAATGGTCATTGAGACATGCAAGATGCACGGGTACGTTCAGGGCTAGTACTTGTACAGAAACACGTGGGCGCCATCTTGGTTCACGTGACATGTGTCAGACCATGCTGTGTACAGGGAATCTTGCCGTACTTCGCGTCGACTCTGGCCTGTTCAAATCCACACAAGTGAGCCACAGTTCTCTCTAGCAGGCTGAGATTTTGCAGGCACCGAGTTCAGATGTGGGCAAAGGGATTCACCGAAGGATTTTTTGATTTTCGCAATTTAGACCTCAAATAACACCCTCAAACTCGGTAAACGTGTCCCACCTCTAGGATCGTTTTGGCGGAATTCGCTTCGGTGAAAGTATGGAGCATCTCCTACTGAAAATTTTGAGCCATCGATTGTCAAAATCGGCTCATGTGGAGCTCACTTGTGTCGTTTTGAAGGACGCCGCGCCACGCGCGACTTGCGCTGGTTCTTTCACAAACGGAAGACACCTTCCAGTCAGCACTGCAGACTGTGACAGTGCAGTGCGCACGGCAAGGAAAAGAAGGAGACGTGCATTTTCCATTTGTTGCACTGTGTCCTTTGCTTTTATTGTTCACTGATAACGTGTTCGCAAAATCTTGAGCTAGAGAGAAGACTGACTTACAATCTGATTCATCTAGGCTTCAGTGTGATGCACGTATCCAGACCATAGGAAATATTGGGAAAGGAACCGGGAACCACGAGAATAATTTTTCTGGAGCGAATCCAATTATTACCATGGTTCCTTGTTCTTGAACACCGCGCTCCACATCGTCAATGTTCTGCGAGGTAAGGATTTCAGGACTACTATCGGTTTGTTCGACCTCGGGGCGATCTGATCTACGTCCAGCTGGCCATGATACTGAGCCGAACTGGCCACTAGTTCGCTTCTTTCTCGACTCGGGATAATCAAGCCGGTCAGAGTGCGATTTCCTACCCTGGATGCGATCCATGGTGCGGACTGAAAATAACTACTGAACACCTCCTTGTACAAGCACTGACATACAAGACCGGTGGTGGATACAAACTGACAACAGGAAACCCTAACAGCACCCGCTCTGTCAAAGAAAGTCGAAGGGAAGCAGTTCGAACGAGTTCCAGCACCACCAAAAAATATAACTATGATAAAAACTAGCACTTGCTCTTGCAGCTAGGTCAAAGACTGCACTGGCAAGTACACTTTTGCGCAGTCGCGATCTCGCGGCCCCGCATCACGTGCGGGTATCTGATGACGTAGCGTGATTCAAGATGGCCTCTGACGTGTTTCCCGTTTTGTGATCCCAAATACCAGCCCTGACGTTGTTGGCTCTCCACTCGAAACCTGTAGTTGATGTTGCATATGTACTTGTACGACTGTGTCTTTGCGGTGTTTGTATGGCCAGCACAGAGTGTAATTCCTTGCGGTGTTTGTATGGCCAGCACAGAGTGTAATTCCTTGCGGTGTTTGTATGGCCAGCACAGAGTGTAATTCCTTGCGGTGTTTGTATGGCCAGCACAGAGTGTAATTCCTTGCGGTGTTTGTATGGCCAGCACAGAGTGTAATTCCTTGCGGTGTTTGTATGGCCAGCACAGAGTGTAATTCCTTGCGGTGTTTGTATGGCCAGCACAGAGTGTAATTCCTTGCGGTGTTTGTATGGCCAGCACAGAGTGTAATTCCTTGCGGTGTTTGTATGGCCAGCACAGAGTGTAATTCCTTGCGGTGTTTGTATGGCCAGCACAGAGTGTAATTCCTTGCGGTGTTTGTATGGCCAGCACAGAGTGTAATTCCTTGCGGTGTTTGTATGGCCAGCACAGAGTGTAATTCCTTGCGGTGTTTGTATGGCCAGCACAGAGTGTAATTCCTTGCGGTGTTTGTATGGCCAGCACAGAGTGTAATTCCTTGCGGTGTTTGTATGGCCAGCACAGAGTGTAATTCCTTGCGGTGTTTGTATGGCCAGCACAGAGTGTAATTCCTTGCGGTGTTTGTATGGCCAGCACAGAGTGTAATTCCTTGCGGTGTTTGTATGGCCAGCACAGAGTGTAATTCCTTGCGGTGTTTGTATGGCCAGCACAGAGTGTAATTCCTTGCGGTGTTTGTATGGCCAGCACAGAGTGTAATTCCTTGCGGTGTTTGTATGGCCAGCACAGAGTGTAATTCCTTGCGGTGTTTGTATGGCCAGCACAGAGTGTAATTCCTTGCGGTGTTTGTATGGCCAGCACAGAGTGTAATTCCTTGCGGTGTTTGTATGGCCAGCACAGAGTGTAATTCCTTGCGGTGTTTGTATGGCCAGCACAGAGTGTAATTCCTTGCGGTGTTTGTATGGCCAGCACAGAGTGTAATTCCTTGCGGTGTTTGTATGGCCAGCACAGAGTGTAATTCCTTGCGGTGTTTGTATGGCCAGCACAGAGTGTAATTCCTTGCGGTGTTTGTATGGCCAGCACAGAGTGTAATTCCTTGCGGTGTTTGTATGGCCAGCACAGAGTGTAATTCCTTGCGGTGTTTGTATGGCCAGCACAGAGTGTAATTCCTTGCGGTGTTTGTATGGCCAGCACAGAGTGTAATTCCTTGCGGTGTTTGTATGGCCAGCACAGAGTGTAATTCCTTGCGGTGTTTGTATGGCCAGCACAGAGTGTAATTCCTTGCGGTGTTTGTATGGCCAGCACAGAGTGTAATTCCTTGCGGTGTTTGTATGGCCAGCACAGAGTGTAATTCCTTGCGGTGTTTGTATGGCCAGCACAGAGTGTAATTCCTTGCGGTGTTTGTATGGCCAGCACAGAGTGTAATTCCTTGCGGTGTTTGTATGGCCAGCACAGAGTGTAATTCCTTGCGGTGTTTGTATGGCCAGCACAGAGTGTAATTCCTTGCGGTGTTTGTATGGCCAGCACAGAGTGTAATTCCTTGCGGTGTTTGTATGGCCAGCACAGAGTGTAATTCCTTGCGGTGTTTGTATGGCCAGCACAGAGTGTAATTCCTTGCGGTGTTTGTATGGCCAGCACAGAGTGTAATTCCTTGCGGTGTTTGTATGGCCAGCAGAGAGTGTAATTCCTTGCGGTGTTTGTATGGCCAGCACAGAGTGTAATTCCTTGCGGTGTTTGTATGGCCAGCACAGAGTGTAATTCCTTGCGGTGTTTGTATGGCCAGCACAGAGTGTAATTCCTTGCGGTGTTTGTATGGCCAGCACAGAGTGTAATTCCTTGCGGTGTTTGTATGGCCAGCACAGAGTGTAATTCCTTGCGGTGTTTGTATGGCCAGCACAGAGTGTAATTCCTTGCGGTGTTTGTATGGCCAGCACAGAGTGTAATTCCTTGCGGTGTTTGTATGGCCAGCACAGAGTGTAATTCCTTGCGGTGTTTGTATGGCCAGCACAGAGTGTAATTCCTTGCGGTGTTTGTATGGCCAGCACAGAGTGTAATTCCTTGCGGTGTTTGTATGGCCAGCACAGAGTGTAATTCCTTGCGGTGTTTGTATGGCCAGCACAGAGTGTAATTCCTTGCGGTGTTTGTATGGCCAGCACAGAGTGTAATTCCTTGCGGTGTTTGTATGGCCAGCACAGAGTGTAATTCCTTGCGGTGTTTGTATGGCCAGCACAGAGTGTAATTCCTTGCGGTGTTTGTATGGCCAGCACAGAGTGTAATTCCTTGCGGTGTTTGTATGGCCAGCACAGAGTGTAATTCCTTGCGGTGTTTGTATGGCCAGCACAGAGTGTAATTCCTTGCGGTGTTTGTATGGCCAGCACAGAGTGTAATTCCTTGCGGTGTTTGTATGGCCAGCACAGAGTGTAATTCCTTGCGGTGTTTGTATGGCCAGCACAGAGTGTAATTCCTTGCGGTGTTTGTATGGCCAGCACAGAGTGTAATTCCTTGCGGTGTTTGTATGGCCAGCACAGAGTGTAATTCCTTGCGGTGTTTGTATGGCCAGCACAGAGTGTAATTCCTTGCGGTGTTTGTATGGCCAGCACAGAGTGTAATTCCTTGCGGTGTTTGTATGGCCAGCACAGAGTGTAATTCCTTGCGGTGTTTGTATGGCCAGCACAGAGTGTAATTCCTTGCGGTGTTTGTATGGCCAGCACAGAGTGTAATTCCTTGCGGTGTTTGTATGGCCAGCACAGAGTGTAATTCCTTGCGGTGTTGTATGGCCAGCACAGAGTGTAATTCCTTGCGGTGTTTGTATGGCCAGCACAGAGTGTAATTCCTTGCGGTGTTTGTATGGCCAGCACAGAGTGTAATTCCTTGCGGTGTTTGTATGGCCAGCACAGAGTGTAATTCCTTGCGGTGTTTGTATGGCCAGCACAGAGTGTAATTCCTTGCGGTGTTTGTATGGCCAGCACAGAGTGTAATTCCTTGCGGTGTTTGTATGGCCAGCACAGAGTGTAATTCCTTGCGGTGTTTGTATGGCCAGCACAGAGTGTAATTCCTTGCGGTGTTTGTATGGCCAGCACAGAGTGTAATTCCTTGCGGTGTTTGTATGGCCAGCACAGAGTGTAATTCCTTGCGGTGTTTGTATGGCCAGCACAGAGTGTAATTCCTTGCGGTGTTTGTATGGCCAGCACAGAGTGTAATTCCTTGCGGTGTTTGTATGGCCAGCACAGAGTGTAATTCCTTGCGGTGTTTGTATGGCCAGCACAGAGTGTAATTCCTTGCGGTGTTTGTATGGCCAGCACAGAGTGTAATTCCTTGCGGTGTTTGTATGGCCAGCACAGAGTGTAATTCCTTGCGGTGTTTGTATGGCCAGCACAGAGTGTAATTCCTTGCGGTGTTTGTATGGCCAGCACAGAGTGTAATTCCTTGCGGTGTTTGTATGGCCAGCACAGAGTGTAATTCCTTGCGGTGTTTGTATGGCCAGCACAGAGTGTAATTCCTTGCGGTGTTTGTATGGCCAGCACAGAGTGTAATTCCTTGCGGTGTTTGTATGGCCAGCACAGAGTGTAATTCCTTGCGGTGTTTGTATGGCCAGCACAGAGTGTAATTCCTTGCGGTGTTTGTATGGCCAGCACAGAGTGTAATTCCTTGCGGTGTTTGTATGGCCAGCACAGAGTGTAATTCCTTGCGGTGTTTGTATGGCCAGCACAGAGTGTAATTCCTTGCGGTGTTTGTATGGCCAGCACAGAGTGTAATTCCTTGCGGTGTTTGTATGGCCAGCACAGAGTGTAATTCCTTGCGGTGTTTGTATGGCCAGCACAGAGTGTAATTCCTTGCGGTGTTTGTATGGCCAGCACAGAGTGTAATTCCTTGCGGTGTTTGTATGGCCAGCACAGAGTGTAATTCCTTGCGGTGTTTGTATGGCCAGCACAGAGTGTAATTCCTTGCGGTGTTTGTATGGCCAGCACAGAGTGTAATTCCTTGCGGTGTTTGTATGGCCAGCACAGAGTGTAATTCCTTGCGGTGTTTGTATGGCCAGCACAGAGTGTAATTCCTTGCGGTGTTTGTATGGCCAGCACAGAGTGTAATTCCTTGCGGTGTTTGTATGGCCAGCACAGAGTGTAATTCCTTGCGGTGTTTGTATGGCCAGCACAGAGTGTAATTCCTTGCGGTGTTTGTATGGCCAGCACAGAGTGTAATTCCTTGCGGTGTTTGTATGGCCAGCACAGAGTGTAATTCCTTGCGGTGTTTGTATGGCCAGCACAGAGTGTAATTCCTTGCGGTGTTTGTATGGCCAGCACAGAGTGTAATTCCTTGCGGTGTTTGTATGGCCAGCACAGAGTGTAATTCCTTGCGGTGTTTGTATGGCCAGCACAGAGTGTAATTCCTTGCGGTGTTTGTATGGCCAGCACAGAGTGTAATTCCTTGCGGTGTTTGTATGGCCAGCACAGAGTGTAATTCCTTGCGGTGTTTGTATGGCCAGCACAGAGTGTAATTCCTTGCGGTGTTTGTATGGCCAGCACAGAGTGTAATTCCTTGCGGTGTTTGTATGGCCAGCACAGAGTGTAATTCCTTGCGGTGTTTGTATGGCCAGCACAGAGTGTAATTCCTTGCGGTGTTTGTATGGCCAGCACAGAGTGTAATTCCTTGCGGTGTTTGTATGGCCAGCACAGAGTGTAATTCCTTGCGGTGTTTGTATGGCCAGCACAGAGTGTAATTCCTTGCGGTGTTTGTATGGCCAGCACAGAGTGTAATTCCTTGCGGTGTTTGTATGGCCAGCACAGAGTGTAATTCCTTGCGGTGTTTGTATGGCCAGCACAGAGTGTAATTCCTTGCGGTGTTTGTATGGCCAGCACAGAGTGTAATTCCTTGCGGTGTTTGTATGGCCAGCACAGAGTGTAATTCCTTGCGGTGTTTGTATGGCCAGCACAGAGTGTAATTCCTTGCGGTGTTTGTATGGCCAGCACAGAGTGTAATTCCTTGCGGTGTTTGTATGGCCAGCACAGAGTGTAATTCCTTGCGGTGTTTGTATGGCCAGCACAGAGTGTAATTCCTTGCGGTGTTTGTATGGCCAGCACAGAGTGTAATTCCTTGCGGTGTTTGTATGGCCAGCACAGAGTGTAATTCCTTGCGGTGTTTGTATGGCCAGCACAGAGTGTAATTCCTTGCGGTGTTTGTATGGCCAGCACAGAGTGTAATTCCTTGCGGTGTTTGTATGGCCAGCACAGAGTGTAATTCCTTGCGGTGTTTGTATGGCCAGCACAGAGTGTAATTCCTTGCGGTGTTTGTATGGCCAGCACAGAGTGTAATTCCTTGCGGTGTTTGTATGGCCAGCACAGAGTGTAATTCCTTGCGGTGTTTGTATGGCCAGCACAGAGTGTAATTCCTTGCGGTGTTTGTATGGCCAGCACAGAGTGTAATTCCTTGCGGTGTTTGTATGGCCAGCACAGAGTGTAATTCCTTGCGGTGTTTGTATGGCCAGCACAGAGTGTAATTCCTTGCGGTGTTTGTATGGCCAGCACAGAGTGTAATTCCTTGCGGTGTTTGTATGGCCAGCACAGAGTGTAATTCCTTGCGGTGTTTGTATGGCCAGCACAGAGTGTAATTCCTTGCGGTGTTTGTATGGCCAGCACAGAGTGTAATTCCTTGCGGTGTTTGTATGGCCAGCACAGAGTGTAATTCCTTGCGGTGTTTGTATGGCCAGCACAGAGTGTAATTCCTTGCGGTGTTTGTATGGCCAGCACAGAGTGTAATTCCTTGCGGTGTTTGTATGGCCAGCACAGAGTGTAATTCCTTGACTTATGACTGTACTGTATAGTATTTTGTATTGATGGAAAGCGAAAGGAATGGCTCAGACAGTGAAATTATAGTAAAAAGCGCAAAACCTACTTAACCAGTGGCATGTAGATAGCCTACTTAACTAGTGGCAGGGAGATAGCCTACGCAACCAGTGGCAGGGAGATAGCCTACGCAACCAGTGGCAGGGAGATAGCCTACGCAACCAGTGGCAGGGAGATAGCCTACGCAACCAGTGGCAGGGAGATGCAACTATGTTGAGCAATTACTGATCACGTTTCATGCGAAGAGGTCTGTATTTCTCCTGCGGAGAGTGAATACTTTTCCTGACTAAAACATGACGCCTGGCTTGTACAGACGCAAAGCGTTTCGAAACTCTTATAATATTTCAACTCCTTCAAACTAATGAATATCTACAGGTGTGTGTTGCGTGTTTCCACCTTAGAGGTCTTGTCCTGTCAACTTCTCTTGATCTTATGATCCTTTTTCTTGCACGTGCATGTATGTGTATGTGCACGTGTGTCTGTGTACGTCTGTGTTCGTATGTGTGTGTGTGTGTGTGTGTGTGTGTGCCTGTGTGTGCCTGTGTGTGTGTCTGTGTTGCCTGTGTTTAGTAACAAGGACCCTAATCTCTGGCTGCAAGCATTGTCTTACTTTGCACACACTGATGAGGAATGCCGTGAGCAGATTGTGGAGGTCTTAGCCCGTATCCTTTTCATACTTGCTATTATGTCCACTGGACACAATATCTTAGGATGTATGCACCATCTTCCATTTTCCCCTTTCTCTGGACATGCCCTGGATCTGATCAAAGGATTTGCAGAGGCTTCGATTCAAACATTCTTTTTTTATTGTTTTTGTTTCCCATAATACTAAGGGTGCGTTCTTGAATCCTCTCGGAAAAGTTCGAGGAATGTTCTTATATCCTCTCTGAACTTTAGGAGACTCTCCAAAGCTCTCCAAGCTCTACGAACTTCAAAGGTGGTTGCAAATTGGAGATTCCCACGTTTTGGGGTCAGCGCATGTGAACTACTGCTAAAAGCCACGTGTTGATTTTGAGTGTACGACATTGCCTTTGGGATGAAATTATTTTCAGATGAAATGTCCTGCTTGTTTATTAATGTAGTGGAGTGGTCGGAAGTGTAATCCTGTGCAAGGTGTGATACTCCAATGGAGCTGTCTCTTTAGTCATTTGCTATGTAATTGCAGGCGCGTACCCAGGGGGTTCCACAGGGTTCGGATGAACCCCCCTTTCTGTCTGCCGACTGAATTTTTTCGTTTTTCGTCTTTTGTTGCGCTGCGCGTGGGCGTCGCGCCGTGCTGTCGAGTCGTCAAGTCGCAGAGTCTACGACTACTTGACGTCTTCATGCACTGCGCATGCGCTGAAACACGCGACACGCGCCAGAGTTGGTTGACATGACGTAGCTATTTACTACAACGGACCCCATGTAACCCCCCTCCTGCCGACCCTGCATACGCGCCTGAATTGTCTATTTCTGCAATCATTTGCCATGTACTTGAAGTATTACAATAGTTTTCCTTGACAGCTGGTGCGCTGTAGATATTGACAAGCGTAATTTGTTGCCACCGTTGATGGTTGTTCAAACGTTGGCCAATAACTCCACTGCGACGCTGGCTACAGTCAGGGACTATGTCGTCAAACGCTTGCAGGCTGAGAATGAGCTGGTATGTGTGTGTGTGTGTACGCGTATGTGCGTGCACGTGTGTGCGTGCATGCGCTGGTGTGTGTGTGTGTGTGTGTGTGGTGTGTGTGCATGGACGTGCTTTCCTGCATGTAAGAAAAGAGTAAATGGTCGTGACCATCCCTGAAGGGAGTCGACTGCGATCACCCGTGCTAATTCCTTTGTTCGAATCCTGCCAGTGAGCATTTTTTTTCAGCTGTGCTCCTACCGACAATCAGTTGGGAACTTGTAGCCAGGCACAATAGGTCGATGGAAGTGGCTACTGGGGCTCTCTGCATTTGTGTGTCAGTAGTTGTAAGACTTAGGGAGACATATCCCCTCACCGTCTATTAGGCACTGCATCTGCTGCTGGATTATAAGTGCCTATACTATAGACATGCACATAGTCCTGCGCATGCCACTACGATGTGAGTTCAGTGTTTATGCACGCCGTGGTAGAGATATGGAAAGATGAGTATGTATAGGTACCCTGTGCTAGGAGTGCCTTGTCGTTAGATACATGTACCTGACAGAAGATATATTTGTAAGTTTAATTATATTGTTTACATGTGTACATGTATGTTGATGGGAGGCTATCATTTCAATGCTGTGTATGTTTGGCGTGTGTGTATACAGGTGTCCTCCGATGAACGTTTGATTCGCCAGTACAGAGAAGAAACTGAGAAGACACGGGCGCAGTGTGAGGAACTCAAGACAAGGTATGCTCTGAACTTCCATTCTTTCTATTTTCAGCAAGATGACTTTAGAGAATTTTGTGTAAAGCCAGCTGCCTCTCACCGCTCAGTAACTTAAAGAGAAGAACCCTGTTTGAGTCATATAATTATACTGAAAACAGGAGGCTTCTGAGTGTGTGTGTGTGTGTGTGTGTGTGTGTGTGTGTGTGTGTGTGTGTGTGTGTGTGTGTGTGTGTGCCGGTTGGTTTCATGCTGCAGTATTTCTAAGTTACTAGCTGCTTCCTGGAGAAGCGAATTCGACTCCTTGCTGCTTCCCTCAAATGTGTGTATCTTGATGCCAGTTTCGTCGGAGACATGAATGCGCTAATAGCCTAATAGTAAGAAGAAGGGCACAGTTCAGACACTTCAGACACTTCAGACAGTTCAGGCTCAACAACATTTTGAAAGTTTTCACTAGTATACTTTCAAACCTTTTCGTCAGGTGAAATGCAGGCAAAATCAAATGAACAAGGACAATAGATTGAGTACAGTAGAGAGGTGATAGAAACAGTGCAAGGAAGAAGAGCTAAAATCACAATGAAGAATGTGTGTGACCCATACACATAGAAAGAAATGAGGGAAAGGTGTAAGTGTGGGGAATCCTAACACTTGATACCGGTGTTCTTGTTCATTTCATTTTACCTCTATTTCACCTGACGATACGGCTTGAAAGTATACTACTGAAAACTTCCAAGATGTTGTTGAAGAGCCTGAAGTGTCTGAAGTGTGTCCATCTTCTTAGTATACTTACAGTACTGCAGCTTAATCCATACTTCTACTACGTGTCTCCCAGCCACTGGCCTGCTAGAATGCTGTGGTATGTGGTATGTGATGAATTAGTATATTCCTTGTTTCGTTTCTATGTTCAGTGCAAAGATCTTCCAGCCATCAAAGTGCATGCTATGCCGTAACCCTTTGGACTTGCCCGCTGTACACTTTCTGTGCTCACACAGCTACCATCAACAGTAAGTGGTGCATGTAAGTGATAGCAGTAACTTGATACCGGTCTGCTGCTGCTGCTGCTGCGCGTAGCCAACTGTTGTGTGATTGAGTGCACTGTGTGCAAGAACCGCTCCTCGTCTTTCTCCGGTTTTGTTCCAGCCTGCTTGGGTGTCGCCACTGAAGTCGCTATTGGCATTTCCTTTGCTGTGTGTGTGTGTGTGTGTGTGTGTGTGTGTGTGTGTGTGTGTGTGTGTGTGTGTGTGTGTGTGTGTGTGTGTGTGTGTGTGTGTGTATGTATACATGTGTATCTGTGCATGTGTGTGCGTGTGTGTGTTTGCATGTCTGTGTGTATGTACGTGCATGTGTGTTTCTACGTGTGTGTGTTTGTATGTGCGTGTGTGTGTGTGTGCACACACACGTGTGTATGTCTGTTGTGCATATTCAGTTGTCTTGAAGGTATGATGGACACAGACTCCGAATGTCCACAATGCCAGGAGAAGAACAGGTTAGCTAGTGTGTGTGTGTGTGTGTGTGTGTGTGTGTGTGTGTGCTCAAGATAACTCTGGTCATTTTTATACTACCAAATCTGGATTCTGCTGGTATCAGCTGTGATTGGTCAGTCGTCAGTATGTGTCTTGCGTTTTGTGTGCTCTGTTTTTTTGTGTTTGATTCAGAAAAGTGCTTGATATGGTGCGTGCACAAGAGCAGAACAAGGAGTTGCACGAGCACTTCCACAATCAGGTACGACGGGCACTATGTTTTACGTGTTTATGACAGCTTCTGTAGTCCTTTTCTGATGGAGACAGACAGACAGACAGACAGACAGACAGACAGACAGACAGACAGACAGACAGCAATGGTGTCCACGAATCAACCATGCCCCCAGTGACAGCACAGGGGACACTGTTTCACGTTCCACCTGCCCTTGTTATCTTCCTAAATTCCATCACCCTCTGGTTATAACACTCCTGCCTGTGTATGTGTGTGTGGCTATGCGTGTGTATGTGTGTATGCGTGCATGTGTGTATGTGTGCATGTGTGTATGTGTGTATGTGCTTACAATACATGTTCATGTGTGTTTCTATCAGCTGGAGAGAGCTGCTGATGGTTTCACGGTCGTTGCTGACTATTTTGGACGCGGTGTATTCAACAAGGTATGTTTACTTTGTTTCAGCATACATCTGGCCGAGCATGCGTGTTATGGTGTAGGAACGAAAGAAAAAACTCGGGACAGATCTCCACCCCACTCACGATCTAATCGATCTCCCCCTCGTTATCGTTCTGCTTCATGTGAACGACGTACACGTACTCGCCATAGATCGGCTGGTGCTACACGTACACGTAGATCTAGATCTAGATCTCAATCTGCGGACAGATGTCGGTCAGGGTCACGCTCGGGTGCTACGCACGAGTCCCGCCTGAGTGCCCGGGGACGACATGGCCATGGGTCACCCCGACGGCGCGAGTCGCACCGTTTCACCAGGCACCGAGATAGTTCTGGCACTAGTTCTAGCTCTGGTACGTCAGAATCTGACGATAGTGACTCCGACAGTCCTAGTGCCAGTAGTGGCACATGTCCGTCATCCGACGACTCGGCTGCCCACGAGCATCGCCGTGGTAGCGGTGCGGGCTTCGATCCTAAGGGGTTAGTGGACGACTCTGTATGGTCTCCCCCCTCGCACATGGCCTCGTACCTACGGGAGCACTGCCGTGGTTCCCTGTCCTTCGCTGAGCGTCGACGGGTGCGGAAACTGTGTCCCCGACCGGACGTGGAGGAAACGCGATGTCCACGCGTGGACCCGTTCTTGTCGGATGTCCAGGGCCTGGCCAATGCCAAGAGAGCGGATAGAATGCTGGCCAACATCCAACATAAGGTTACGGACGTTTTCCGTCCCCTGGCCGCACTCTGGGCTGCTATTGAGCAGGGCCGGCCGGTCCACGAACTGACCGAGCTGGTCCAGATGGCGATCGTCATGACGGGCGACGCCTCGAATGTATTGTCGGAGACACGCCATCAGCGCCTCATGGCAGCGCTGCCAAAGAGATGCCCGAAGAGCCTGCTGCAGGGCTTGCGTCCTTCCGGTGATCTCCTCTTCGGTGATGGATTTTCCCGGGAGTATAAACGGAAGTGCCAGGAAATGGACGTATTCCAGCCACGGCCTTCTGGGCGGCGCCCGGGGACCGCACAGGACCGGTCGCAGCCTGCCCGTCCTGACCGTTTTTCTGGTCGTACCGTGTACCGGTCAGATCCAGGGCGGTTCCGCCCTTACGACAGGGCAGGACGGGGTCATGTCACCCGCCGGCCTGAGGAGCATTTCCGCCAGCCAGCAAAAAACGGCCGGGGCCAGCCCTTTCGCGGGCGCCCTCGAGGTCGTTGACGACCTCCCCCGTGCCTGGCTGCCTCACAGAAGCCCCTACCCCCCAGGTAGCGGGCCGATTGGAGCATTTTGCGGCAGCCTGGCGAGACCTAACGCAGGATGCGTGGGTGTTGAAGACCGTCTCAGGGTACTGCTTAGACCACACCGTTCCTTGCCAGCGGTCCGCTCCGACAGAGATGTGGTTCCCTCCCGAAAAATGCGCCATCGTCCACCAGGAGATAGAGGATCTCCTATCCAAGGGTGCAATTCGACCGGTGAGCCCATCTCCCGGCCAGTTCGTGAGCCGGTTATTCACCGTACCCAAGAAGGGTACCACCGCCGAACGTCCAGTCATCGACCTCCGCCACCTGAACGAGCACGTGCGGTACGAGCACTTCCAGATGGAGGGTCTCCACCTTGTTCCCCTGTCCGTCCGAGAGGGCAATTGGCTCACAAAGCTAGACCTCAAGGACGCGTACTTCACCGTGCCGATCCATCCCCAACACCGCCGGCTCCTGCGCTTCAGTTGGGAGGGCCAACTCTACGAGTTTCAGTGCCTACCGTTCGGCCTGTCCAGCGCCCCCCCCCCCCCCCCCCGGTATTCACGAAGCTGATGAAGGTCCCGATCAGTGTTCTTCGTCGTCAGGGCATTCGTCTCATCCTGTATCTCGACGACCTTCTCCTGATTGCCGAGTCACGGCCGGCCGCCGTGCTGCAGACGCAGCAGGCCATTCAACTCCTAGAATCTCTGGGTTTCGTAATCAATCGGAAGAAGTCCATTCCCGAGCCTACGCAACAGCTCGAGTTCCTAGGATTTCAGTTGAACTCTGTGGCCATGACGATGTCTGTGCCGATCGACAAGGCGCGGAAACTCCAGCAGGAGTGCCACCGAGCCCTGTCCCAGCCCTACCTGTCCATCCGCGCATTGGCCTCACTCCTGGGCAGGATGGTTGCGTGCTCCCCAGGCATGTTTCTGGCTCCACTGCAATTCCGCCACCTTCAGCAGTTGAAGATTGCAGCCCTTCGTCGCCATCAGAGCTACCTTGCCACGGTACGCCTGACGCCGGAAGCCAGGACGGAGCTGACGTGGTGGGCAGCAGATCTAGAAACTTGGAATGGTCGCTCGATTCTCAAACCTCCCGCTCAGCTCACCATATTCTCCGATGCGTCCCTGCTCGGCTGGGGAGCGGTGTGCGGCACAACGAGTACTGGGGGTCAATGGTCCCCTACCGAGGCCAATCTCCACATCAATGCTCTGGAATTGATCGCTGCCTCATTCGCGGTGAAAGCCTTTCATCACCGGGCCTCGTACCGTCCTCTGCACATCAAGTTGTTGATCGACAACACGACAGCCGTCAGCTACATCAACCGCTTAGGCGGCACGCATTCCCGTCTCCTGTCCCAGATCGCTTGCGACCTCTGGAGATGGGCGGTCCAACACGATATCCGCCTCCAGGCGGAATATGTGCCGAGCGAGGAGAACCCAGCGGACCATCCTTCTCGGGGCTCCCTCTCCGAGTCCGGCGACTGGCGCCTGGACCCTGCTCTGTTTCGCAGGATTCAGAGGGCAGCTCCTTGGACCTTGGTGCTAGATCTGTTCGCATCTCGACTGAACACGCAACTTCCCGCCTTCTATGCTTGGAGGCCGGATCCGGAGGCTCTCGCTCTAGATGCGTTCTCTCAGAATTGGAGTCTCCCTCATCAGGACGCGGTGTATGCCTTCCCACCATTCTGCCTACTGGACAGGGTGCTTCATCGTGTGGCCTCACTCCATACTTGCCGGATGATACTGGTCGCACCAGTATGGGATACGCAGCCATGGTACGCGACTTGGCTGCAGCTGTTGGTCGATTTCCCCATGCTTCTGCCCACATTCGACTGCCTGCTACTCTCACCCTCGGGCCATCCACACCCACTGGTACTATCCCGCCACCTGCGCCTCGCCGCATGGCCTATCTCCAGCAGCGCTTCAATGCAGCAGGACTTTCTCCACAGGTCGTGCGACTCCTCTCCTCCTCTTGGCGGTCATCAACCAATGCCGCTTACGCATCGGCATGGGAGCAGTGGCTGGGCTGGTGCAGTCAACGGTCAGTGGATCCCGTTCGCCCATCTTTAGCTATGGTGCTCCAGTTCCTGGCCGATTCCTTTGAGGACGGCCGCAGCTACAGTACCCTGAATGTCTATCGGTCAGCGATGTCTGCTACCCTGCCTGAGCTGGATGGTGCACCCATTGGCCAGCACCCGTTGGTGGTGCGTTTGCTCCGTGGTATCTGCCTAGAGCGTCCGCCGCAGCCGCGGTACTCACATACTTGGGATGTGGGTATTGTCACTTCTTGGCTCTCTAAACTGCCTGCCAACACGGACCTGTCTCTCCCTGTCTTGTCTGGCAAGTTGGCCATTCTGATGGCCTTGACTGCTGCTCGGCGCTCTTCGGACCTCCACCGGCTAAGCCTCAACTCTCATCGTTTCTCTGCCGAGGGCGTGGTGTTTGACTATCTCACACCCCCTAAGCAGCATCGCCCTGGTTCGGAACCAGCCCGACCTGTCACCTTTGCTGCCTTTCCTGTGACTCCTGCACTCTGTGTTGTGGAGTGCTTCAGGGAGTACTTGCGTCGGACCGCCGACCTGCGGCAGGCATCTTCTGCACATCTGTTCCTCAGCACGAAGCGTCCGCACCACCCTGTCACCTCTGCAACGATTGCTCGTTGGATCAAGCAGGTTATGTCCAAGGCTGGTGTGGACACATCATTGTTTGGTGCCCATTCCACTCGTGCCGCTTCTACGTCTGCTGCGAAGCGTAAAGGTATGTCGACAGTGGACATCATGAAATGTGCTGACTGGAGTTGCGCATCCGTGTTCCAGCGCTTCTATTTCAAGCCGTGGGAGGGTGAGACCAGCGGCTCTTCCCCATCGGCACATCAGCAGTTCTGCCGCTCCGTGCTTGCGCCGTAGCGCTACCAATGTTGGCCTGGCCAGGTTCTGAGTCTGTGACTTTGTGTCTACCTCAGTAATCCGATTGCTGTCTGTGCCTGGCTTTCTCAATGCCGTTCTATCTGTGCATGTGTATAGTACACGGCTTTCCTCATTTCTTCTTCCTTTTGCCATTACGCCTGTGTCCTTGTTCTGGACAGGCCTTTTGTCACTTTCTGCGGCAAGTTTCCGTGGCACCGGTTTACCCTGTTCCTTACTGATTTGGTGGTGTGCATGGTGTGCTGCATGCCCGGTTGGGGGTTTCATGGCCTGCGTTGGTCCCTCTCTCCGGTCTTGTGGTGTTCGCTTCACCTCTGATTTGAGCGTTGAAATCTACAGTGTTACATGGAGCGGAGCCTCTGATGTGCAATTGACGATTATACAAGGAACTCTGTTCTGATGTATAATCATAATTGCATGAAGAGGTGAAGCGAAATGTAACACTGTAGTCCCTCCCGCCCATCCCATTTACTTATGCACCGGGGAGTGCCCATGGGCTTTATCTTGGCCATTGACGCGTTCAAACAAGGCCGAGGAAGGACTGGCCGAGCATGCGTGTTATGGTGTAGGAACGAAAGAAAAAAAAAAAAAAGCTTTGAAAACTGGTTATTTATGCAGTAAAAATGTAGGGCCACTACAGTGTTACATTTCGCTTCACCTCTTCATGCAATTATGATTATACATCAGAACAGAGTTCCTTGTATAATCGTCAACTAATAATACTCCAAACGCGTTCTTAGCAGTGAGTTGCAACATGTCCTCCGTGGAAATACGGCACTGTGGCAAAGGTCCTTTCTTCTTTTTCATCAGGGAAGGAGAGGAGTAGCAGTCAGAACTGCAAGTTGAGCAATGTACATGTGGCAATAGTGTGAAGTTAACACTCTTACTTGGTCTGGTATTTAAGCCCGGTTTATACTTCATGTTGCGTACGGGGAAACACGGCGCAACGCCTGTTGCGGTGGAAGAAGTTCACTTGAGTTCAATTTATTTTCCTGATGGTGCGACTGAGGCTGCGGTGAATCATGCTCATTTCAGGCACTACGGTGACACGACGGTGAAACTTTCAGCAAGCCCTAAGTTCTACATGCCCAACATTAGTCCTAAAATATATGCTATTGCCTATTGGCGTTTGTTAACGTGTGGAGCAGCTAATCTGTGCCAGGCTATGTTTTCCTTGTTCAAGCAACGCTGCTTGGCACATGCAAGGGTCTGTGTTGAGACTAGCTGCTACACCAGTCACACTGGCTATTGCTAGCTGAATCAGCAGTTGATGGTTGTGGTCTCATATTTACAAGACAGTGTGATTATCATTTTACTTCGTCTTTGATGTCAATGTACTACTCGCGGATCACACCTCCAATGAGTCATCACAATCGACATGGATGACTAATTCCGCTTTCCCAAACTGATGGCGAGTTGCACACTCCTGTTTATTTACTCTTAGTCGAAGCATAATATTACTTTGTGTGAGTTCAGCCTTTTGTATTCTGTTGTAGCAGTTTGTATTCTGTTGTAGCAGTTTGTATTCTGTTGGAGCAGTTTGTATTCTGTTGGAGCAGTTTGTGCCCATCCAGTCCTGGCTATTTTAAACGTCTTAGGTGGACACCAGTAGTTGCCAGGTAGAATCCTGCCAGTAGTTGCCAGGTAGAATCCTATCCACTGTTTTGGAGCTTTGTAACCAGTGTTAATGTGTTCTGTTCTGTTCTGAGTCATGCTTTTCATCTCCTTTGTTGTTGCCTTTGGCTCATTGTTTGTTATGCAGTTGACACTCGTGACAGACCCAAGCGGTGAATAGCAAGCTAATAGTGAGTGATGTGTTGAATGCATTTACTGCTGCTGCTACCTTGAATGGTGTAGCGCTTTTCTGCTACTCAACTGTTTAGATTAGTGTTGTCTTATTGCTGTAGTATTTACTGAGAGTGCATTTTCTCTCGTCATCTTGTGTTCTTTGTCAGTCAGACTGTTTTCCCATTGCACTGCTGCTGCCGTCGCCGCGCCGCCACTAGATTGTTTTAGCTGCATAGCTGTGTAGGGTATGTCCAAGTTACTTCATAAAACTGTCAACACGATACTCATGTAATACATCTATGCTTTGTCTGAAAATTCGTTCATGACATCATCTTTTACTAAACATATATTTTCAGGTTCTGTCTATTTTTTTATTCTTACTCTCAAGTCTCTTTTGCAACGAAAATGTTGTGAGGAATACGAAGAATTTCACGAGCAAGTTGATTTCCACCCATGAAATGTTTGTTTTATTGCCTGTTAGTTTGTTTCTATTTCACTGACAGGACTTGCGCACTCAGATTGTAAAGCAAGCCTTTACTCAGCTTTGATCAGGGCTGGTCATGTGGTGTATATTTGACTTCTCTAAGTCGGTTAGTGCATGTGTGTGTGTGTGTGTGTGTGTGTGTGTGTGTGTGTGTGTGTGTGTGTGTGTGTGTGTGTGTGTGTGTGTGTGTGTGTGTGTGTGTGTGTGTGTGTGTGTGTGTGTGTGTGTGTGTGTGTGTGTGTGTGTGTGTGTGTGTGTGTGTGTGTGTGTGTGTGTGTGTGTGTGTGTGTGTGTGTGTGTGTGTGTGTGTGTGTGTGTGTGTGTGTGTGTGTGTGTGTGTGTGTGTGTGTGTGTGTGTGTGTGTGTGTGTGTGTGTGTGTGTGTGTGTGTGTGTGTGTGTGTGTGTGTGTGTGTGTGTGTGTGTGTGTGTGTGTGTGTGTGTGTGTGTGTGTGTGTGTGTGTGTGTGTGTGTGTGTGTGTGTGTGTGTGTGTGTGTGTGTGTGTGTGTGTGTGTGTGTGTGTGTGTGTGTGTGTGTGTGTGTGTGTGTGTGTGTGTGTGTGTGTGTGTGTGTGTGTGTGTGTGTGTGTGTGTGTGTGTGTGTGTGTGTGCTCGTGTGTGTGTGCTCGTGTGTGTGTGCTCGTGTGTGTGTGCTCGTGTGTGCTCGTGTGTGCTCGTGTGTGTGTGCACCTGCTTGCGTGCGCACATGCGTAGGCGAATGGTTTGCATGTCGTAGCTGAAAATAGATGCAATATGGGTACATGTGTATATATGTGTATACACGTGTATGTTCTTTGTTTGTACATTGTAGTGAGTGTACAAGGCATGCACCCTGTCTCTCACTCTCAGGCCCCAACACTATCCTAGACTTGTTGAGCATGGAAAGTTACCATGGTTACATGGTTACATTGTCCCTGTTGCCTAGTGACAGTGTTGGAAGTGTTGCTAGCAGCACTCCGGCCTCTGGTCATGCTGGAAAGGAAGTTAGGTACTGTGTGATGTGTGATGAATGTCGCGACGTCGAGGAAACGATGTACCTGCTTTCACAAGGAAATGAGTTCTTTGTGATGAATGGCATGCATGCTAGTTTTTGTTTTCACAGGCGCTACTATCGCAGGATCGGAACTACTTCGCGAGGCAGAAGACAAACACTAACAAGTAAACAGTTGTTTTTCTTACAACACTGGTCCTGTTTGACTGCGCTGGCTGTATACATGTACTAGTACTTGTAGTCAGGGAGTCGTAAAATAGAATAGTATTTTACGACACCCTGCTTGTAGTGCTATCATGAAGTGTTGATGATGTCACTCCTTTGGCTTTAGCTTTGCTGGATAAACTTGATGGATCCCTCCTTTTCTGGCTAGCAATGATCATGAATCATGATGATCCAGTGAGTCACCGTATTTCCACAACATGATAGTAGGCCGGTCTACTATTTGTGGAAACCTCGTCCTAACCCGGGCTTATAATCGAGGACGGTCTTTTATTCTTTCAACCCAGTTTGACCCCGGTCTTCTATTTCTCGCCACACAGTTTTACCCCCGTTCTTCCATTTTCTTCTACACAGTTTGAGCACGGTCTTCTATTTTTAACACAAGAACAAAGACTCATTTAGTAGGCCCGGTCTTCTAATCGGAGACGGTCTTTTATTTTTTCAATCGCCCCTGCCCCGGCCTTGTATACGAGGAAGGCGTTGTATACGAGGACGGCCTTTTATTTGCGGAAATACGGTACATGAACTGACTGTGCCTGTGGCCTAGCGCCTGGCAATGACTATATACCCGGTATGTAACTGTCACACTTAATTTATCTGCTAGCCAACACTTCTGAGTGCGCTTTCTGAGTACTGTAGTAACCAGGGTAACACCACTCCCTTCCTTCCTTGTGAAGTGTGAAGGTTTTGCACTTTCAGCTGCTAGGTACTAGGTGCACATGGTGTGGGCACATAATATTTTTAAAATTATTATTATGGTTTGGGTTGCTTTGTTGTCACAGTCTCAGCCAGCAGTCGTTTGTTTTTGTCTTACTCTTAGCTCTAGTAAGAGTTCCTGTTGAAATTACCAGTAGTAGCAGTTACCGTAGTTGGCTTATTGGGTAGTCGTTTCTGGTGTGGTTTTGATTGCCGCCGCCATCTGGTGTTGGTGCGGCTTCGTGAACTACTGGTAATTAGCGTGCACATGTGGCCGTTGAACGTTCTTTCTGCCACCATACTAGCGGTCTCTCCCCGCAGCCCCGGGTATGTTTGGTACTTCAGTTTTGTCGTCCGAGTTCTGATACCTGTATTACTGACATTCCAGAGCCCAAGCCAAGGTGTTTGCCCAGACCAGAGAGACTCTGAGAACCAAACCGGGACGCGACGGTCGACTACAGTCTCTGTACAATTGTACTAGTGCAGTAAGAGCAGTTGTTACTGCGTAGCACTCACGCGGCGGCCCCGGAACTTCTTGCTGTTACTTGCATGTGTGTATCTGTTTGTGTACTCGCCGAGTTCTGGCGTTGAAGACTAGCTTGGCAAACAGCGCACCGCCTTTCTCAACACTGGTGTATTTTCCTTGTTGAACTAACTTATCGGTACTTGTACTCCCGACGTGCCAAATGCCTTCGATGAGTCAACCCTGGTCACAAGGACGAGGTCTTCGCACTGCAGTGCTGGTGCGGGATTTCCAGAGCCGCGAGTGAGTGAGCAATGAGGATAAGATAGCCCGTCCGTGACCTGACCTGGAAGCGATGGAAACTGGCGACATGATCGGCTTCTGTTCCCGTGGTGACCTGTCGCACCCCCTCATCACTTGTCAACAATGGTAAGAGTCTTCCATAAAGACTTTGTCATGGCTGCCGCATGGTGGCACGTGGCCCTTTGTGCTTGTGGTTGTGTATGTGAGTGGGCGCGCGTGTGGGCATGGGTGCACGTATGTTGTTGACACTGCAAAAAACCCGCAGGAAATGGCCAGCACGGTTAGCGCCCACCCATGCCGAAACATCACACGGTATCTCTGTGGATATCTTAACACAGCCGCATGGTTTGTATGTCTGATGGTATAGTGAGGGGCCGTTTACATGAGAAAAATAAGCCCGGGCTTATTCAACCCTAGGCTTACGATAAGCCCGCCTTGATCTGTCACGCAGTCATTTTAGAGCGCGCGTTTACATGGTCGGGCGGGCTTATTCAGCTCGCCCCGAGCTGAACTAGCCCTACCCTTGACCCCCGAGCTTATCCAACCCCCAGGGCTTATTTTGTCATGTAAACGGTCAAGAAGGGCTTATAACTTATAAGCGAGTTTTTCCGTATTTTTCGATTTTGCCTCGTGAACCTGAGAGAATGTGGCCGTGGACAGTGCGTCTCTTTTATTTATTTCTTGGTATGTTTTCTTCTGGTTTTTGTCCAGTGGAAGGTCCTAGCCCATCCTTCACCTTCTCGAAAAATAAGTGACAATTGGAAAGGCAGTAGAAACCTGAGCCGGCATTTCTTGATCCAAATTTCATCAGACACGAACATTTACCACTGCGTTCATGTGCGATTTGAAAAATAAAATGCGCGCAGAACTCGCAGTCACTCACCTGAACTCAGCCCCGTACAACCGTCATGTAAACGGTTGAAAAATAAGCCCGAGGCGAATAAGCCCGGGCTTATTTTCCTCATGTAAACGGCCCCTAAGATAACTTCTTAGATAAGTGCGTAGTACATGCGACATGTTTACACTAATAGTAGGGACTTCAGACCATTTTTTCAAATCGGTTTTCTGTGGCTTATGTTTTGCTTTTTGGATAGGTTAGAGCTTCCTGAGGAGTTTGGTCTTTAGTTTTTCTAAGGCTGCAACCACACTAGGTACAAAACTGCGTAAACGCAACTTTTCTGCTTGTGTCGTCAAGGAAACGCATACGAAACGCAAAACATACTGCGTTTCGTTTCAGCAAACCGGGTACCCCTGTAGAAAGCAACTTTTCGCCTTTTCCTTGTGTTTTGCTCGGTTCTTCTTACGGGTAGATGTTTCTTGTTGAGGCTTGCACTGTGTCGGTAGTAGATGGCTTCCTTGTCAGTGCAGTTTGTAGTATTTGAGATTTCATCTGCCAGGGCTTTGCTTTCAGTATAATTTCCGGACAGTCCTGTTGCCTGCTGTTGTTAGTTCGAGATGCCGCGCAACTACATTGTATTTCGCTGATAATCTCGAATTGAGAAGCTCATGCAGTTTGGGGCAGCGTACCATGAAGACAAAGCAGGGCCAGATGACAGCCTGGAGCGGACCATCCGAGAGGAGATGAGCGAGGCCTTGAACGTGTATGTCAAGGCGCTCGCGACTCTTTTTCAAACTACTACTACATGTAGTACAATACATTTTCACAGCGCTATTTTTTCTGGGACCCAGAAATGTAGACAAAACGCAAGGATTCCTTGCGGATGAAATGGCAGTGTGGATGCGACTTTGCGTTATCTGAAAGCTGAACGCAAACGCGTACTTGATTTTGTACGTAGTGTGGTTGCAACCTTAATCGGACAAAGGAAGCTAAAGTTACAAGCAAAATAGTCATTGCCTATCACCTGATTTTTGATCATTTTTCCAACAAACGCCCCACACATTTGAGATCAGAGAGATATGTCAAACTGAGAGAACCCACTTTCCTTAGCAACGCATAGCAACCACACACCAGACCCGAAAACAATCTTTCTCCGCATGAAACAGCTGAATAGCATGGTTTACAATGTAGTGCAGGGATGAATTTATTGTCATATTTTGCATAACAGTTTCTGATATACAAAATCACAATTGTGTAGCAGTCTTTGATTTTGATTAGCATTTTTCTTCGAAGGTTGGGTGTTTTCCACATAGTCCTTCTTGAGAGTGGTGCTGAAAGCCCGTTTGCAAAAACCCGACTGAGTCATACATGCGCACGCAGATTGAGAGTGCCTGCACCACGTACACTGCACTGTATGCATGCTACTTGACAGCGCAGGATAGGCATGGGTAGTCTGTATGTATCGCAGTTTTCTGCGAATCAAGATGACTTTTGAGTAGCAGTAGATCGATTTTGCGTCGCAAACTGCGATGCGATACAGGATAAATTCATCCCTGTAGTGGTTAGTAACAGGAGACATCAATAATACAGTCCTGAGATAGCTTCGGACTGTTGGTGTCAAGAAATAGAATGATCAAGGAAGAGGCACTGACTAAGCTCAATATGTACATGTACATGTACAGGACATTGTATTGGCTGGGGTAATCGTAGCACACACATCACCAGAGATACAGCAAATAATAATAATAATAATAATAATCCGCGTGCTAGTTTGTACGTGAAGTGTGTGGGTACAGTGAGGGCTGCGTCCCACCCGCCTGTGTGGATTCACAGGAAGTGTGAGTTACGAAGTCTGAAGAAAATGTTGAACGGTCTCTGCTTGGATGACGACTACACCATAGCTCAGTGGTTAGAGCATCGCTGGCTACAAGCGAGGGTCCCTGGTTCGAGTCCTGGTGGTGACAGTCAATTTTTTCTTCGGACTTTTCCCGTTTGTCTCTTTCCCTCAAAACCAGTTAATATTTTATGACTTGGGGCTCCCCGCGTGCTAGTTTGTACGTGAAGTGTGTGGGTACAGTGAGGGCTGCGTCCCACCCGCCTGTGTGGATTCACAGGAAGTGTGAGTTACGAAGTCTGAAGAAAATGTTGAACGGTCTCTGCTTGGATGACGACTACACCATAGCTCAGTGGTTAGAGCATCGCTGGCTACAAGCGAGGGTCCCTGGTTCGAGTCCTGGTGGTGACAGTCAATTTTTTCTTCGGACTTTTCCCGTTTGTCTCTTTCCCTCAAAACCAGTTAAAATAATAATAAGGCCACACGTTTTTATTTCTATGTTTCTCGTCACCTGAAAATCTAAAAACGTATGCGAGAGGTGGAAAAAAATAAAAATGACCGAAAAATAAAAAAAAGTTTATTTGACCTTTGTTCACACTAAAATCCACCGATAAACCATGCAAAATAGCATCCATAGTTAGCAACTAGTATGTGGTAGGAGCTTCTGTCACAATCTGTGCATGTGCAGCTAGATTGCGCACAAAAATACCATCCTTGCATCATGTGTCGCGCAGGCCAGGCCACATTATGTACATGTGCATGAGTGTGCTGGTCCCCACATGCACAGTCAGTGCAGCACAGTTTTTTTTCTTTTTTTCTTCCAGACTCCTGTATCGTATGCGCGCGGGTGACGAGAAACATAGAAATAAAAACGTGTGGCCTAATAATAATAATAGTAGAAAGGAAAAGGACATAATTATGGAAACGAGTTAAGAGTAACTCTCCACCACTGTAACTAGATACTATATACAGTCAGAAAGTGCAACAACTAGGCACAAAACTGACAGAGTACTGAGACATTCGACATTCTGAGTGTATATAGTATCTAGTTACAGTGGTGGAGAACGGTTACTCTTAACTCGTTTCCATATGTCCTTTTCCTTTCTACTTGTATTATTGGCTCAATACCCGAGTTTCAAATAATAATAATAATAATTTTGGAAAGGATTGGGAGAACTTCAAATTCAAAGGATCAGTCGGGGAAGTGAACTGCCTGAAAAGAGAAAATGAATTTGAAGTTCTCCCAATCCTTTCCAAAATTTAATCACTTTCTTTCACCTCTGGTAGTTTCCAGAAACTGACCGTGGTTGGTCCCCTGGGGGAGGGAAAAAGACCCAAGTGCCATCAGTATGTGTGGCACGTGTTGTGAGCTGCCTTTGGAGTGAAAAACTTGTCAGCGCCTTCTAGGTTCAGCCTGGTCCCATAGCTCAGTGGTTAGAGCATTGCTCATGACAAGCAGGGTCCCAGGTTCGAGTCCTGGTGGGTCTGGCGTTTTTTTCTCTTTTCAGGCAGTTCACTTCCCCGACTGATCCTTTGAATAATAATAATAATAATAATAATAGCACATTTCGCGTAGTAGAGCACTAAATAAAGAAATTCAGTGGTTTTTTCCGCTTCTGTCTAGTGAGCATCATCAGCTAGGTGTAGTAGCTGCTGATACTGATTTCTCCTCGGGTGTCGAGCTGCACAGTTTCTTCCAGCAAATAGCAACAAGAATATACAACAAATCTCCCAATTCGGCACTCTTTCAGCTATCCTTGCGGAGCTCGACCAGATCGAGCATAACAGCATTGGAGACAAGAATCGGGGCATGGACCGAAACAGCCAAGAGCAATTCAATTTGTACATCAGCATCATTTAGCGCAGGATACTTCTCGCTGCTTTCCATACTGTGACTATGGCGGCGCTGCACGGCAAAGTACAAAGAGGAATAATGCAAGAAATAGGTCTTCTGGAAGGTGGAAACAATAAAGATTACCTTCTACTAGTATGTAGACTAATTCGAGAGTCGAGGTCACCGTAGAATACGAATATCACATTTTCAAGAAGGGGACCCGGACGGATCATATAGTTTCTCACTTTTCCCTTCCATCCGCATACGTATCTCCGTCAAAAATGAACGTAACAGCTCCATTCTTGCTGGTCCCAAAGGAAGGCAAGCTCCAACAAGACGAACCGAAACTTTCTCCAACTGTACAAAACTTCCTTCATTTCGAAAAACGGTTCCACATTTCTTTACTCGACTTGACATATGACCATCACACGATTTGTGCAGGCGTCGTTTGCACGCTTTTGGGCCATGAGGTCTGGTGGTCTGAAGTCCCTACTAATACTAGGGTTTTGGGCCATGAGGTCTCGTGGTCTGAAGTCCCTACTAATACTAGGGGCACAGCGGGTGGGCTCTTAGTATTTTTAGTGACAGCTTTATCCGTGCTGCTATCGGAATCTGGGCTCTTGTTGAAGGTCGTGCTTCTATTCTTTGTCGATGGTCCAATATCAAGCCAGTTCCAGTATGAATGTTCATCACTCACTTTAGTATTGACTCCCATAGATTTTGTTGGTATACCTAAGCAGTCAACTATTCCCGGAGTGCGTATTTCACACCTTAAAGGGCTACATGTATATTGACAGCTAGCTTATATTTGACTCCTTTTTAGGGATTGAACACAGGCTTTGGTTAGTCGTGATAAAATGGAATATTGACTTCGTACAGTAGTACTACTTGGTCAGTACAGGTGGAATCCTGATAATTCGAGCACCAAATGCCGGGAAAAAAACTTCTGATTACAGGTCTGCTCTCGATATAACAACTCTCACTTGTACATAAACCTCGCTAGTAAGTAAAAAAATCAAATCCTGCGCCGAAACGGCATCACTCCCATCCAAATTTTGTTCTACACAACACATGCTCGGGCGCGGTCCCCGACTTGCTCACTCTCGATACAACGTAAATTCACGTGCGCAGTACGATCAAGCGGTAGCTGTAGCTAGCCTGTTTAGTCCTATAAGCCTTTTGCGCGTTGTACAGATGTACGAAGTTCAGTACTAGGGCGTAGGTGTGTACAGAACCGATTGGGTGTTCATTGTGTGCTATGCATGCGCATTTGACCAATTTTAGCCTCATAACTAGGGCTGAAAGTTGGCACTTAGATCCCGAGTTCGAGTACTCTGATTTTCTCCGATCGAATATTCGAGTATTCTTCATCTCCTAAAAATTGCACACCAGGGGCCTTAAAATCACATGATACAACCCTGATTGAACCGAGTAGCAGTCATTTTTCTCGGGTATATTGGTTGGGGGTCATTTGGGCTCTCTCTACTCGTGAATAAATGTTCACCACACGGTCTACACATCAATATCTGCCGACTGCTGCTCTGAAACTGCAGATTTCTGTAGTAAATGCATGTACCATGTATGAACGAGTACTCTGATTAATTCCGAGTACGATTATTTTTGAAAAATCCGAGCGAGTACTCGAGTATTCGGTATAATTGTTTCAGCCCTACTCATAACCAAGGGCAAACAATCCCTATTCCAGCTTCTTCAATTTGGTTAGAACTAATGACTAGCTAGATCTTTGTCAGAAAAGGTTTTCGTTTGAAATGCCTTCAGGGCCCATTTCTTAGTGGAAATAGCAGAAAACACAATAGGGTCCTGCACATTCAACGCCCATTAGGTTCTACGGGATTCTACGGGATTTCGTGCATCTGTACAACGCGCAAAAGGCTTATTGTGCATCTGGGGCATTGATGGTATCTGATGTCGACGGTGGTACAGTGTGTATATATTTGCACGGTTAAACACGCCTTGCAATACCCTTCATTTTGAGGTACATCTTGTATTTTACACACGGTTTCCTACATAACATAACTCTCGATATAACATAATTTTTGCGTGGTCCCAGAGATTACGTTATATGGAGAGTAGACCTGTATCCGGACATTCTAATTATCCAAACATGTGCCCACAACACATTATGTATGTGAAAATGCTCGCATTGACACGCAGAATTGCACAATGCACCTTAGACACAGAGTTAGTGAACACTGAACTGCCTGCGCATGCAAACCAAGCTGATTTGCTGAAAATAAAGCGAACTTCTAATTATGGTTTGTTAACTTCGAATTATCGGCACAAATCCCACACATTTTCTATGTAAGTGGCGTGGGAGGGCACTGTTCAAGACAGCATTATTTTCTCATTGGCTCTCTGAGACGGAGGCACTATTTCAGACGGGGCACTCTTTAAGACTAGGCTCCAATCGCACACGGTATCACACACGGTAATGTGTGGTGAGTGCAATGTCCAGATACAGTAAAACCTGGTGTAAGCGACCTCTGGGTTCAGCGACCACCTGCTCTTAACGACCGTTTTTCCATGCACCGACAGTTCTACACAGTGGGACCTGGTTCTAAAGACCACCTGACTTTAAAACGACCGCTTTGACTGCAGGGGGGGGGGGGGGCGCTTGGCCCTGCTTTCGGCACATGGATCGGATATCTTTGGCCACGACTGCATGGCAGGTAGTGTGCGAATCTTTGGCCACGACTGCATGGCAGGTAGTGTGCGAATCAAGTGGTTGTGTGTGTATGTGTGTGTGCATGCGTGCGTGTGCATGCGTGTGTGTGTGTGCATGTGTGCATGTGTGCATGCATGTGTATGTGTTTGTGTGTTTTGTTTGCAGAAAATAGAGGTAACCATAAACCAGCTTTTCCGGAGGAATTAGGACTGAAAGTTCTGAAAGTTTCGACTCATGATGTCCATACCAGGAATGATTCCTTTCTGGTCAAGACTGCTTCTTGACAGTTGGTAGTCAATGTACATATGTGCATGTGTTTAATGCTGAGTGACTCTGATTGGTTGAGAATGAGCCACCAATCACGGACAGTGTGAAGGATGAGCTGTATCAGCTATAAAAGTAATCATTCCTGTAATGATTCCTTTCTGGTCAAGACTGCTTCTTGACAGTTGGTAGTCAATGTACATGTGTTTAATGCTGAGTGACTCTGATTGGTTGAGAATGAGCGACCAATCACGGACAGCGTGAAGAATGAGCTGTATCAGCTATAAAAGTAATCATTCCTGTAGGGGTGGTGGTCGGGGTTTGGGATGGCCGATTTTTGACTTTTTAATTTGTTTCTGCTTGCTTTGTTGGAGCCTACAAGAATGATGATTTGCTGTTTGACGTGCTTTCTTCCTTCCTTCGTTTCTTCCCTCTGCACACAACAAAGAAGACATTAGTAATTCATTATGCATTCCACCATTGTTAGATTTGCTGTTTGACGTGCTTTCTTCCTTCGTTTCTTGCCTCTGCACACAACAAAGAAGACATTATGCTTTCTCTTGAGGTGATGGTGGATAACATAACACAAGTTGACCCTCAGGCTTTTTCTTCTTGACTTTTTTTGACTTTTTAATTTGTTTCTGCTTGCTTTGTTGGAGCCTACAAGAATGATGATTTGCTGTTTGACGTGCTTTCTTCCTTCCTTCGTTTCTTCCCTCTGCACACAACAAAGAAGACATTAGTAATTCATTATGCATTCCACCATTGTTAGATTTGCTGTTTGACGTGCTTTCTTCCTTCGTTTCTTGCCTCTGCACACAACAAAGAAGACATTATGCTTTCTCTTGAGGTGATGGTGGATAACATAACACAAGTTGACCCTCAGGCTTTTTCTTCTTCCTTCGTTTCTTCCACCTGCACACAAACAAGGCACGCACATCTTCTTCCTTTCCTTCTTGAGCTTCCTTCAACTTGATTTTCCCTGCATGCTTGCTGACACACAGACACACACAGATACACACATGCCCACACAGACACAACACACACAGACACACACATGCACACACAGACACAACACACACGGGTTGACATACTGAAAAATTGACACTGATAAAAGCCAACATATTTCGACTGCCTGCTAGAATTAAGAATTTCGTCTTTAAAAAATACCATGCACACATAGTAAGGTGACTGGCAAAGACCCGCCGTGTATTGAGAAACCCTGCAGGAAATAAAGCTTGAGGGAGATCTGACTGCATGTCGAATGCCAAGCATGAGGGAGATCTGACTGCATGTTGAATGCCAAGCATGAGGGAGATCTGACTGCATGTTGAATGCCAAGCATGAGGGAGATCCGACTGCATGTCAAATGCCAAGCATGAGGGAGATCCGACTGCATGTTGAATGCCAAGAATGAGGGAGATCTGACTGCATGTCGAATGCCAAGCAAGTACACTAAACTTCAAAGTACATGGACGAACAAAATATTTTGCATATGAACAGATTGTGGGCGTAACGTAATGATTGTGACAAAAAAAAGAGAGGTTCCGCACTACGTAACGGTAAACGTTGAGCAACTTTCGGCAGGAAAAACCCGTGGATTCGCGAGTTTGCACTCCACTTACGGAAAGTTGTCTACGTAGAGTACATAGATAGGGCTCTGATAAAGTAGCTGGTCCGTAAAGTGGATTGGGGTACAACTTTATGACTCTCTCCCCAGGTCGATCTGGTCGTACACAGCCGCGTTCGGAGTTTGAAAAGTGATTTGAAAACTCCGGATGACGGAACACAGATACGCATGCAGTTTACGTAAGACTTTCCGTTGATCGACTACATTTTTTTTACTAACGTAACATCGTTATGCAGAACCTCTCTAATAGTGATTTTCACTGATTGCTACAGGAGTGATAGGACAATGCCAGAAAATAGTGCACGAATGGTCAGCAGGTTGGGGGGGGGGGGGGCTGCTTGATCAACCAGGTACATGCTGACATGAGTGAGACTCAAGTTGTGTTCTTGTGATCAATAAAGAGGAAGTTGAACGACTTTACGTATGTGGGTGACACAAGAAACGCATACACTATGGCTTGCGCAGGGTGAGAGGTGGCAAATTTCACAACAATTTGATGCATTGCACTACTTTTCGAAGTACAGTGGAGATAGGATATAACGACACTCCTTCGGGAGAAAACAAAATGTCGCTATATTCGATCTGTCACTAAACCCGATCTTCACTTTTAGTATGCAATAATTTAGGGCTGCAACGGGTAGGGGTTTGGTTGGGTAACAGGTCCGGGTAGCACGGGTACCCTATCGGGTATTTTTGACACAGTTTGTACTGTGAGTGTCACGCGGCACTTGCCGCACTACATAGAAAGTGTACAGTAGCAGTAGCACGGACTACGGCCATGTTGTTTACATGCACCGTTGCAAAAACACCGTACACCAACTACCCTATCGGGTTCTCAGGAGTAAATTGCTACCCTACTACCCTATCAAATTACGGGTAGCATGGGTACCCTACTACTCGTTGACACCCCTATGCAATATGTATATAAAAATGACAGAAATCTATTGCAGATATGCATATGGGCTTTAGATGCACATGTGCATATGTCTGCATGCAAGTTGAAGCCAAAAGTCATGCATAGCAACTACAGTGTGTATCGGTTATAGCGTGGTCGTGTAAAAGAATAATATACTGCCTACAAGAATGAACTCTCATGTTTTCATAATCATAACATGGGTTTCATGTGTATATTTATTCTTACAAGTAATTTTATCGTACAGTAGAATATATCGGTCCTAAGAATGGACTTTGTGTAGCGAAACATGGCAGATTAGTAGAAACTACAAAGTATATCGCCTGTACTGCCTGTACTGCCTGTACTGGCTGTAGTAATAATATCCGTCCAATGCTGTTCTGATCTGACTCGCGTTGGGTTGTAGTGCTGCAGGTTCAACTGTTGTGGTCATGTAACTCCCGAGTCCTGTTGCATAGCCACATGGTAAGCCTATGGGACTATGACCAGCCGCATGCACAGTAGCACTACATTGCATAATACGATGATCTTCCTGCCTCTGCGCACATGCACATGATATGTCACACTTGTTTTATCGTGTGTAAGAAATATCGGAAATAAGAATAGAAAGTCGTTTTTCAAACACCCACGCTATAACCCATACCTACTGTACACCCTACTGTACACCGCACGCTGCACTGCGGCTACCAGCATGCGTGGAGTGACCCAGAGGTCCGGGCATGTGACACACACATGTCCCATGCATGCCAATTTGCCTGATACAAGAGGAAAGTCATTATATTCTATGCATTTTCAGGTCTTCGGGCACCAAAAAGTGTCAGTAAATTCGATCTGTCGATCTTTTCGAGGTCGCTATACCCGATCTATAATGTACAGAATGGACTTGCTAAACGACTTGGGCAACACAATGTTGTCGCTAAACTCGATTTGTCGTTATATCCAATCTCCACTGTACATGCATTTCATATCTAGAGCATAGTGCACACCTGCGATGTGGGCCTTGAAATAGTAGACCTAACGTGGGCACTATATTGCGGTATGTACAATGCATGACTACCACAGGCACTATATTCCGGTATGTACAATGTATTACGCTGTAATCTGTCCAGCATGCACTAAGTACCCAAATTGTCGGGATTTCTCAGAATTAGTGAGTTGTGATGGAAATAGGAAATAGGTTGCAAATCGGAACGGACTCAATATTCACTTTCTCTCTTGGTGTTTTGATTAGAAAACATATGTCGCAGTGAGACTACGATGTGTTTTACTCCGAGCCAAATTTCATGGCTCTGCGATAACCAGAAGCGCCATACCGGGTGAGTTTTTGACATGTTGCTTCGCACTGCGACTTGAGTTTTTACGTCTTTCAAAAAATCAGCTTCTTGTCGCAGGTAAACAGCGGCTTGCCTCTCGCCAATAAAGCACCTTATACCAATGAAAACTAATGGAATCACACACAAGGCTTATTGTTACTCTGTACTGGCCGTCGTGGAGCGATAGCAATTACCTAATGGCAGGAGTGTGTGGTGCAAATTTCACTCAAATCCATTGAGAGACACCAAAGTTACGGTCCATTGAATGCCATATGAAATTTATGGGCAGGCTGCTACCTTTTTTTAGCAGCCTGCCCATAAATTTCATATGGCATTCAATGGACCGTAACTTTGGTGTCTCTCAATGGATTTGAGTGAAATTTGCACCACACACTCCTGCCACTATGCTGGCCCTCTGGACATGATTTAAAAGTTCTTGCGCCTCACTGACAGGCTTTCCAGGCCGGAAAAACTCAAAATTCCGGCATAGTGCCACGGTGTGCGAGCCACCCAGGAGCCAAAAAATGCATTTACAATTTTTTCACATGTTCTTGCCTATTCTGTCCGTGCGCAGGATCCAAACCTAAAAAAAGTCCAGAAGCAGCCATGGGTGGTGGGATAGGGCCCCTCAACGTGGCCCTGGAATCTGTCACAACGGCACGACTGGGCGTTCTCTCACAGACTCCCACAGACCCAAGTCAATTTTTGAATTTTTTAGGTTTAGGGTGTGCTACGAGATCGTAGCAAGCCATTTCCACAGCGCTGCAAACCAAATCCAGGATACCCTCAAAATTCGGCAAAGACTACCACTCACGTTCCACTACTGCCTAGTGCTGAATCCTACCTGACTTCTTGACACGACTCAAACTTGCCAAAGTCACTAAATCAACGTCAACTACAATAATCAAGCCACATATCTGCAATGTCACGAGAGTGCTGGCAAAAGTCCTGCTGCACGGCTAAAAAAAGTGATTTTTTTGACTTGGAGCAAAATTCTGCACACTTTCGCGTGTTTCCATGATACGACAAGTTGCGCACGGTCTGCTCACATTCAAATACAGTGCTGCCAAAAAATGACAGCGTGCAACAACAAAATCTTTCCTTGCAAGGGCACATTTTCGGCCATAACTCTTGAACGGCTGGTCAGATCGAGACAAAATTTGCAGAGATTTTGCAGCTATTCATGCTCTTTCAACTGATGTAGCACTCGATATGAATTTACAAATTCGATTTTTCAGGGATTTTACGACCAGGCTGCCCCCTTAACACCTAGCTCTATCACATTTCCAGTGAGCAAACTAACACAGCCTTTCAGCTTGGAAGGTACAAGGTTATGGTAGGACTTATGAGGGAAGGATCAGCTCAGGGAAAATGTGCACAGGCTATGTCCTACGGCAACAAAAATAATGTTGACTGTTACAGGACGAAGACGAGACCAGTTAATAACTTGACAGTACGGTCTACCTACAATTCGAAGCAGCAAATCAACACACCACCCAACTCAGTGGGTGGGTCAGAAATATCAAGTATAACTACAGTGGAACTCACTTAGTACGTACCCGGGTAAGATGTACACCTGCTTACTACGGTCCTTTTTCGTCACACGGATTTTCATTCTGAAGTGCATATATAAATGATTTTCATTCTGAAGTGCATATATAAATGATTTTCATTCTGAAGTGCATATATAAATGATTTTCATTCTGAAGTGCATATATAAATGATTTTCATTCTGAAGTGCATATATAAATGATTTTCATTCTGAAGTGCATATATAAATGATTTTCATTCTGAAGTGCATATATAAATGATTTTCATTCTGAAGTGCATATATAAATGATTTTCATTCTGAAGTGCATATATAAATGGTTTTCATTCTGAAGTGCATATATAAATGTGTACAGGTACAAAGTACTGTGAAACTTGTCTACGATGACCGCTCAAGGGACCTTAAAAAATGGTCTTTGTAACTAGGTGGTCTCCCGCCGAGTGGTCTTCTGGGACAGGTGGTCGCCTTGACAGGTTTGCTGTACTCTGCTACGACGTGTAACTTGTGTATGCCGACTTCTCAGCAGGTCCCCACAGAACTACGTGCTAGTTTGGTGTTTTCAACTAACCTCCTGTTCTACGTGCTAGTTTGGTGTTTTCCTACACTTGTGCACATAACAGGTACTAGGTTCGCTTGACAGGTACTTTAGTATGTTTGACAGGTACTTTAGTATGTTGACTCCCACTGTACAGTGGGGAGGAGGCTGGTTGCAGCGCAGGAAACCTGGCTTGGTGGCGCT